ACTTTAATACACCACTGACATCACTGGATAAGTCCTCTAGACAAACAATCAGCAGAGAAACAGCAATCCTAAATGACTCACTAGATCAGATGGACTTAATAGACATCTTCAGAACACTTCACCCCAAAGCCGCGGAATATACATTCTACTCAAGTGCTCATGGGACAGATTCAAAAATAGACCACATATTGGGTCACAAGCAAAGTCTCCCCAAATTCAAGAAGATTGAAATCATAAAAAGCATCTTCTCAGACCACGATGGCATAATATTAGAAATAAACTACAATAAAAACAACCCAAAATACTCAAACACTTGGAAGCTGAATAGCATGTTATTAAATATTGATTGGGTTACCAATGAGATCAAAGAAGAAATTAAAAACATCCTGGAAACTAATGACAATGAAAACACAACAATCCAAAACCTATGGGACACAATGAAAGCAGTCCTGAGAGGGAAGTTTATAGCTCTACAGGCCTATCTCAAAAAACAAGAAAAAATGGTAGTAAATCATCTAACTCTTCAACTCAAAGAATTAGAAAGAGAGCAACAAGAAAACCCCAGAGTGAGCAGAAGGAAGGAGATAATAAAGATTAGAGCAGAAATAAATGACATAGAGACCAAAAAAACAATACAGAAAATCAATGAAACCAAGAGCTGGTTCTTTGAAAGGATAAACAAGATTGACAAACCTCTAGCCAGGCTCACCAAGAAGCAAAGAGAGAGAACCCAAATAAACAAAATCAGAAACGATAGAGGCGAAATAACAACAGACCCCACAGAAATACAAATGATTGTTAAAAAATACTATGGACAGCTCTACTCCAACAAACTAGACAACCTGGAGGAAATGGACAAATTCCTAGAAAAATACAACATTCCAGCACTCAATCAGGAAGAATCTAAAAATCTCAATAGGCCAATAACTATGGAAGAAATTGAAGCAGTCATCAAAAAGCTTCCAGCAAACAAAAGCCCAGGACCAGACGGCTTCACAGGGGAGTTTTACCAAACATTCAAGGAAGAACTAAAACCTATCCTCCTCAGACTACTACAAAAAATTCAAGAGGAAGGAACACTTCCAAGCTCATTCTATGAAGCCAGCATCACCCTAATACCAAAACCAGGTAAAGACAACACAATGAAAGAGAATTACAGGCCAATATCCCTCATGAACATAGATGCCAAAATCCTCAACAAAATCTTAGCAAATCGGATCCAACAGTACATCAGAAAGATCATACACCATGACCAAGTAGGATTTATCCCAGGGATGCAAGGATGGTACAACATCCGTAAATCAATAAACGTAATACATCACATAAACAAATTGAAAGAAAAAAACCACATGGTCATATCAATTGATGCAGAAAAAGCATTCGACAAAATCCAACACCCATTTTTGATAAAAACTCTCAGCAAGGTGGGAATAGAAGGATCATACCTCAACATAATAAAAGCCATATATGACAGGCCCACAGCCAACATCATACTCAATGGACAAAAACTAACACCATTTCCCCTAAGAACAGGAACAAGACAAGGATGCCCACTCTCACCACTCCTGTTCAACATAGTCCTGGAAGTATTAGCCATTGCAATTAGACAAGAAGAAGAAATAAAAGGCATCCAAATTGGAAAAGAGGAAGTAAAACTGTCCTTATTTGCAGACGACATGATATTATACATACAAAACCCTAGAGACTCCATCAAAAAACTACTAGACTTAATACATGAATTTGGCAATGTAGCAGGATACAAAATTAACCCCAAGAAATCTGAGGCATTTCTATACACCAATAGTGAACTTTCAGAAAGAGAGATTATAAAAACAATCCCATTTACCATCGCACCAAAAAAATTAAGATACCTAGGAATAAACTTAACTAAAGAGGTAAAAGACCTCTACTCAGAAAACTACAGGACATTGAAAAAAGAGATAGAGGAAGACATAAAGAGATGGAAGAACATACCATGTTCTTGGATTGGTAGAATCAACATCATTAAAATGTCCATACTACCCAAAGCAATCTATAAATTCAACGCACTTCCCATTAAAATACCAATGGCCTACTTCAAAGATCTAGAACGAACTCTCCAAAAATTCATCTGGAATAAAAAAAGACCCCGAATAGCTGCAGCGATCCTGAGAAAGAACAAAGTAGGTGGGATCTCAATGCCAGATATCAAGCTGTATTACAAAGCCACTGTTCTCAAAACTGCCTGGTACTGGCACAAGAACAGACATATAGATCAGTGGAATAGAATAGAGAGTCCAGAAATTAGCCCGAACCAATATGCTCAATTAATATTTGACAAAGGAGGCAAGAACATACAATGGAGCCAAGATAGTCTCTTCAATAAATGGTGTTGGGAAAATTGGACAGATATATGCAAGAAAATGAAACTAGACCACCAACTTACACCATACACAAGAATAAACTCAAAATGGATAAAGGACTTAAATGTACGACAGGAAACCATAAAAATTCTAGAAGAATCCAAAGGCAACAAAATCTCAGACATATGCCAAAGCAATTTCTTCACTGATACAGCTCCTAGGGCAGTTGAAACTAAAGAGAAAATGAACAAATGGGACTACATCAAAATAAAAAGCTTCTGCACAGCAAAAGAAACCATCAACAAAACAACAAGAAAACCCACTGCGTGGGAAAACATATTTGCCAACGTCATATCTGATAAGGGCCTAATCTCCAAAATTTATAGGGAACTCATACAACTTAACAAAAAGAAGATAAACAATCCAATCAAAAAATGGGCAAAGGATCTAAATAGACACCTTTCAAAAGAGGACATTCAGAAAGCCAAGAGACATATGAAAACATGCTCAAAGTCACTAATCATCCGAGAGATGCAAATCAAAACAACAATGAGGTACCATCTCACACCTGTCAGAATGGCTATCATCAACAAATCAACAAACGACAAGTGCTGGAGAGGATGTGGAGAAAAAGGAACACTTGTGCACTGCTGGTGGGAATGCAGACTGGTGCAGCCACTATGGAAGACAGTATGGAGTTTCCTCAAAAAACTGGAAATGGAACTCCCATTTGACCCTGTGATCCCACTTCTAGGAATATATCCCAAGAAACCAGAAACACCAATCAGAAAGGATATGTGCACCCATATGTTCATAGCAGCACAATTCACCATAGCTAAGATCTGGAAACAGCCTAAGTGCCCATCAGTAGATGAATGGATTAGAAAACTGTGGTACATCTACACGATGGAATACTATGCTGCTGTAAAAAAGAAGGAACTCTTACAATTTGCAACGGCATGGATGGAGCTGGAGAGCATTATGCTAAGTGAAATAAGCCAGTCAATGAAGGAAAAATACCACATGATCTCACTCATTCATGGATAATAAAGACCATTACAAACTTTTGAACAATAATAGATACAGAGGCAGAGCTGCCTCAAACTGATTGTCAAACTGCAGTGGGAAGGCCAGAGAGGGTTGGGGGGCAGAAGGGAGGGGAGTAAGAGATCAACCGAAGGACTTGTATGCATGCATATAAGCAAAACCAATGGACATAAGACACTGGGGGGTAGGGGAGGCCAGGGGATTGTCAAGGGCGGGGAAAAAAAGGACACATATGTAATACCCTTTGTAATACTTTAAGCAATAAAAATTTTTAAAAAGTAAAAAAAAAAAATCTGAGTTCAAAAGTTCTCAAACTTTTATGGCACTTTAGTGACTCAGTGATTTTTTTCACAGCGTATTTAGCCTAAAAGAAATACCGAAGGGTTTGTTAATAGGTCATTAGGTTCAAACAACCGAATAGTAATAATTCTCATCTTGTCCAACAGACGTCGAAGTGTTTCCCTTGCAATTTAAAAGATCCTGCAATACCCCTGTGAGTAGGGTTGCCTGGTTAACTTTGAATTTCAGATAAAAAAATTTTTTACTGTATTTCTCAACTATTGCATAGAATATCCACTAAAAAGTGTTCATTATTGCTTTGAAGTTCAAATTTAACCAGATACCCTGTATTTTTATTTTATTTCTTTATTATATTTAATGGGTTGACATTGATTTATAAGATTATGTAGGTTTCAAGTGTACATTTCTGTGATACATGATCTGCACATTGCATTGTGTGCCCACCACCAAAGTCAAAGCGTCTTCTGTCACCATATATTTGATCCCCTTTACTCAACCTGGGCAAGTGCCCTGCCCGGGAATCGAATCATGACCTCCTGGTTCATAGGTCGACACACAACCACTGAACTACATCAGCTGGGCTGTTTGTCTTTCTTGTTTGTTCATTTGTTGCTTTCAGGTTTATATCCCACTTATGAGTGAAATCATATGGTTCTTAACTTTTCCTGTCTGACATATTTTGTTTAGCAGGATATTCTAAGGTCCATCCATGTTGTTGCAAATGATGCCCTGTATTTTGTTTGCTTTTTGCTAAATCTAACAGTCACACCGGTGAATTCATGGTGGCTTTCCAGGGTGCCTTGGCACATTATAGCCCAGGGCCAGTTTTTAATACAAAATTATATTTATTTAAAATTAATAAATCATATACATGAATTTTTCAAAAAAATGTTTTTAATTAAATTTACCAAAATATTTTGTGACTGGGTTTATAACTAAAGATATTTAGATTATTAAGCCTAGGGCTTATGTTGACTGATGAAGGTCTGGCCTGTGCATATGGAGCACTGAGCTGCTGCAATATGGTTTTTCCAATTCACCTGAGGTCATTTGAATAAAACCTGAGTGCCAGACCAAAGCTTCTAGTACCTCCCATGAGACTTGATTAAACAGCTGAAACAAATGAAGTTACATTAATTTTTTTTTAATTTGCCAGTCCAATTTTATTGTCTCTTATTCATAATTATATTCACTCCTTAGGACAGAAACTCCTTAGATTTAACAGCAGAAATAGTGAACTATGAAGAACAAATCTGGAGGCCTTCATCCCTGTGGTGCCAACCTACCTATTAAGTTATGTTCCTCTTCTAGGAAGCTCAGTGGATATACTGTATACTTTTGCAAATTGCTCAGGACTGGACTTGATCTTTGGTCTAAATGCCTTACTACGAACAGCAGACTTGCAGTGGAACAGTTCTAACGCTCAGCTGCTCTTGGACTACTGCTCTTCCAAGTGTTATAACATTTCTTGGGAACTAGGCAATGGTAAGTACCCCTGGGACATTTCATTAACGAGATTCCCCTTTGGCATTATTTGTTTATACTTGTGATATTAGCAAATGCACTTCTGGTTCGGCACATTTGTGCAGTGCTCAACCGTGCAACTTTTGGATTGCTTAAGGCAGAAAACTCCTATGTATATCCCAGAACCTGTTGCTAATTCCAGTTTATGATACATTTGAGCTGAGGACAACTCATTGAAACCAGCAACTTCCACAGTTCCCTAGTTTCCTTGAGATTTTCAGGGTCACTTTAAGCCTATTAGGCTTGGCAGGCTGGACTCGGCAAAACTGTACAGCAGGCTGTTGCTTTTCCCCTTCCACTCCTTTACCTGTTTCTTGACTTGTCAGTTAATCTCAGCAACACCATTCCAACCCCCATGAAATGCTCAAGCTAGAAGTTCCCAGTGTAGAATCCTACCCAGGTCAAACTCCTGATTGTCTTCTTTTTTGCAAGGAATGTGTAAATTCTAACTAAAGTGCAAATGACTAGCCACTTCATTCAAACATATTTATAGTGCCTTTTTCGCACATCAGCAAATGGAACTGACGATAAAATGGGAAATGAGAATAGAAGGGTAGAGACACCTGTATCTTAGCTAGATGATGAACAACTTTACCATAGCCACCATATGCATAATAGGTCACCGGAACCCATCCTTACCCACCTCCCAACCTCCTTCCCTTCCTCCCTCCCTCCTTCCCTCCATCCCTCCCTACTTCCCTCCCTCCCTCCTTTTCTACCCGACAATCCCCAACTCCTTCTGCTCTTCACAGTGAGATAAAAGAGTGATGTCATTATGTTTCCCTCTTCCTTGGGCCCCATTTTGCAAAAAAAAAAAGGTCTGGTTTCAGGGTGAAGGTATATGTGGGAAGTAGTTTGGACACTATCTGTGCCTCCCTCCCATCTCTTCAGCTTTGCTATTTCTAGGATCATTTGCACATATAAACCTTCTATTTTTTTTAGCTATCCATTGGTTAAAATCCTCATTGTTAATTTCAAATTGTTATAGAATTCAAAATTTTGTTTTTCTGCAATATTGTCTATAACTAGTGGTTTTACTTTCCGTGACTTTGGATTCTAAGATTTTTGAAATTTGAAAAATGTCTTGTTATGTTTGCTTTTAAATAAGAAATTTCTACATAAGCGATTCTTTTGAAAATTGCTCTTTCAGAACCCAACAGTTTCCAGAAGAAGGCTGGTATTTTCATTGATGGATTGCAGTTAGGAGAAGATTTTGTTAAGTTGCATAAACTTCTAGGAACATCTGCTTTCAAAAATGCAAAACTCTATGGTCCAGATGTTGGTCAGCCTCGAGGAAAGACTGTTAAGATGCTGAGCAAGTAAGAGCTCGAGGAAGAATCTCTTTTCTTAAAAATTGTATTTCTCTGGTGTAGAATCTTCAATAGTCCACATGTTATTAAACAGTTTTCTGCCTGGCTAGATGGCTAAGCAAAGAGAAAACATTGACTGGCTCAGAATACCAAGGATTTGGGTCAAATGGTACCTGTGATAAAGTTTGTATCTGAGCTAGAAAGTTTGTGTTTGCCTGATCCTAAAGCAGTAGCCAGCCCATTTCTTGTGCATATATATTGTGTATATGTATATATGAGAATTTAGTGATAACATAATAGATTTTGATTTTGTAGTTTCCTGGAAACTGGGGGAGAAGTGATTGATTCAGTTACGTGGCATCAGTAAGTACGTCTCCTGTTCTTTTTTGTTGTTGTTGTTCTTTTTTCATTGAATTTATTGATTAATAAAATTATGTAGGTTTCAGGTGTACAATTCTCTACTACATCATCTGTATATTGTACTGTGTGCTCACCACCCCAAGCCAAGTCTCCTTCCATCACCGTTTATCCCCCGTTTACCTTCTCATACCTTTCCTCTCACCCCCTTACCTCTGGTAATCACTATACTGTTGTCTGTGTCTATGAGGTTTTTTTTTCTTGCTTAAACTGTTCACCTTTTTCACCAAACCTTGCTACCCTGCTCCTCTCTAACAGCTGTCAGTCTGTTCTCTGTATAGTCTGTTTCTATTTTGTTAGTTTATTTTGTTCATTAGATTCCACATATGAGTGAAATCATATGGTACTTATCTTTCTCTGACTGGCTTATTTCACATAACACAATACTCTCCAGGTCCATCCATGTTGTTGCAAAGGGTTAGATTTCCTTCTTTTTTTTGGCCAAGTAGTATTCCATTGTGTAAATGTACCATAGCTTTTTTATCCACTCATCTACTAATGGTATGTCTTCTTAATACTAAAAAAGTACTGCTAGCTTTACTTACTGGTGTTTTTTTATTCCAAAAATGATTTCCATTTAACTGCTAATTGACTTTATAATTCAAGTAAGAATCACAGTGTCTCAAACAGCACTGTAGTAAAATTTTAATAAAACAAAAATTTAAACTTATTTTAAATAATGTGATAGTTTCTGCAAGATCAAAGCACACTATCCTTTAACTCATGGGACAGATAAGTAGCTACAGCCAGTATGCTTGCGGAAGAACAAGTAACCCATGAGGCCCTGCACTGATGACTGTGTCTCCTCAAGGCAGAGTAACTGATCCCCTTTTATCGCCATCTCGCCTTAGTAGAACTTCTGCCTCTTATAACAGGGAGGTGGGAAGAGGTAGTAAGAAGAGCAGGTTCAGCCAATTAACGTAAAAGCAGAAAGTAAAGGTTGTTATTTTTTTCTGATTATTTTCTAAATAATTTAGCTACTACTTGAATGGACGAACTGCTACCAAAGAAGATTTCCTAAACCCTGATGTATTGGATACTTTTATTTTACCTGTGCAAAAAATTTTTCAGGTAATAGTCTTTTATTCTTTTTTATGTAAAACCAAAGTCCTTATTCTGTGGTTTAGCTAGTGCCAAATTCTATAGGTGTATACATTTACATGTTTTCTAATCTTAGAGAACAGGCACTAATCTTATGCACCTTCTGTCCCATTAGGATCAGGTCTTACCTGTGGATGTTGATTAGAAATGAAAAATACTTCTAATAGCCTTTTGGTAGAATTAACTTTCATAGGCTATAAGAATGAGATTGTTTACATTTCTTCCACACCTAGAATTCCAATAAAAGTAAGTTACCCAAGACCTAAATGATTGCGAACATATTTTGTTACTTTATTGGACAGATGGGTCTGGGAATACAAGATTTTGAATATCATTAATCTCCAGCACCATAGTTGGTCAGCTTGCTTGCATTTACCATGGAGACTTTCCTGTTTCATAGGTTGTTGAGATGACCAGACCCCACAAGAAGGTTTGGTTAGGAGAAACAAGCTCTGCGTATGGGGGTGGAGCGCCCTTGCTGTCCGACACCTTTGCGGCTGGTTTCATGTGAGTGAAGTAGCACTCGCCTCAGGGACCAGATTTCAGCGTGCTCCTATTCTATTCGGTTGAAATAACTCATCAGCCAAAAGTCTGATCAATGATGGTTTCTGTGGCTGAGCTCCAAAATTTGTGCCAGATTTTGTAAAATAATGATTTACTAAAGCTTGTTGGACATACTGTATTTAATCATTGTATGAATGAATTGCTTTAGAAGTTCTGTTCCTTAATTTTGGCCCATGGCCATGCCAAGGATTCCTCCTCTAAAGAATTACATTGTAAAAATGAAACAAAACAAAACAAAAACATTGTAAAGGAGTGTATCTATAGCTCTGACTCTGGAAGGATTTGTAGTACATGCTACACAGTTATTACAGATTCCCAAGAAGTTTAGAGCCTGAAGTATGAGGTCACACCAGAACACCTATCAATGAATTTAAATTAACTCCTACTCCAACCACCACAAACTTGATTGCTTTAAACAACTGGTTAACTTACATTCCATAACACCATTAACACTCTCAGATTGAGACTTATTCTCTTTCCTCTCCTACTTACACAAAGTAGGAGAATAAGCCCAGAATAAAGTACAAATCATTTATGCTCTTGGGGGCATGATGAGTAGAGAAAAAAATGGAGATGTTTGTTTTGCCATTAACTAAAGATAAGGGGCAGGAGGTGTCCATAAAAGTTTAAGTGTGATCCTACTTATTTCACATTTTACTACTGACTACATGGAACCTTGTAGTGTTTAGACCTCACATAGGGATGGGGAGGAGGGGTACCTTGAAAGACAAGGAATAATTGTCTGTGGGGGTAGGAATTTATCTACTCCGTTTTATAGACCAAATCATAGCCTGAAGGGGACGTCTATGGCATATTAACAGTCCTCTAGGACTTGTAATCATGCAGAAGTATGGGAACTTGTGAAGGGAAGGATAGTCTCCATTTAATTTGAATGACTTATTTACAATTAATACCAGTTTTCTGGTTTCATAGATGAATAAATCAGAATAGTCGATAATTAGAATTAAGTTATTTTGTTTTCCAAGTTTGAAATAAGTCGGGCCTCACTCTGTTCCAGGTGGCTGGATAAATTGGGCCTATCGGCCAGGATGGGCATAGAAGTGGTGATGAGGCAAGTGTTTTTTGGAGCTGGAGACTACCACTTGGTGGATGAAAACTTCGAACCTCTACCTGTAAGTGATCATTATTCTTCTATTTCTGTGAGTAGATTAGACTATACTGAGGACCCCTGTATTAACCTCCTATGAATTGTCAACCCTCTCAGTAAATTCAGTGCTCTCAATATAGCCAAACAATGGAAAGGGTAGAGAGAATCCATTCTAACTTTTTTTGTATGTCAAGAGAAGAAATTGAGACCCAGGAATAATGTTTTTAATGTGAGCCATTTTGGACGTGGTATGGGATTTCTTTAAAAGGGGTCATTTGAAATTTTATGACTTTCGTTTTACAAGATATAAAACTTGGATCAAAAAATGTTTAAGAATAAATCAATGTTAAAATTGGTTATAGTATCCAAAGCTTTAAAACTTTTATGTCATTAAATCATAATTTATTTAACCTTAAGATAAGCCAGTAGTATCATGTATTTGTTCAAAAATCTCACCCAAAGAATGGGCTATTTTATAATAATCTTCAAGGTATTTCTGAATTTTTAAAAAGTCCACCCTACCTCCAATTGCATCTGGTGCTAAATTAGGTAATGTAGCCTTTCTATCTAAAAAGGCACCTGGAATCTATATGTGTCTAAAAATTGAAATAGTATAGATATCTCCCTAAGAAGTATGACCTTGATTTTTATTGTCTAAAATTATATTTGAGGATATCTGTTTTCTAAGAATAATTCCTAAAGGAATTATGTGAATATTGTAGGAAAGCTAAGTAAATTTGCAAAAAGCACATACCAAAATATAAGCTAGGCTTCTGTGGTTTGTAGCTAGATTACTCAACAAAATTGCTTTTAATCTATAGTGGTCCAAGCTCATGGAACACACTGTTCATAACTTTTAGAAAATTCTTAGAAAAATGACCTTGCACAAAATAGAATCTGTCTTCCCCCAAGTGTATTATGAGCCATCTATAAAGTTAAACCAAACATGATAATTTCATTAGACAAATATCCAGAATCTACTGCTGGCCCTTTCTTAAATTGGCCTTGAGCAAGAAAGGTAAATAAATAGTTTCTACAAAATTCACTTTGAGTACAATGTCTAGAAACTAGCCAGCTTATCCTGTCACTCTTTGTAAATAGTGCCAGTTATTTAGTTTGTTATCTAAATCTTCTCAGTGCCCAAGCATAAACCTTTGGCTTCAGACCCTTTTATATGCACTAACTATACTTCTTCCTTATGGTGCAGGATCAGCTAGCAAAACTTGCAAAAATAAATGTACCGTATTACTATGAATAGGATTAAGGGAATTGGCCTTAAACCTATTGTACCTGTCTGTTTTCTTATTTGAATTGCATAACAATCCCAGAAGCCGGAAAGACAGGTATCTTAAATCCTTGTTTTTCAGTTGAGAAAGTTCTAATTGAGATGAAGTCATGTGATTTGCTCGAGGTCACGCAGTTGGCCAGTATTATTCTAAAGAGTCCTGTACAAATCCTGGCTTGAGACCTGCATGCTTTCTACCCAGGAACTGAACCGTGCTCAAGTTATGTCTCTTGTGAAACATTTCATTGATTCTACTCTTGTCTCAAGAGACGATTTGAATCCGAATTTATGGCAGAGAAACAAAAGCTGCCTACTTTTCCTAAGCAGCTTTTGAGAAGAGTTGAGGTATATATTGAGTGGTTTATTTTTAAACCCTAAGCTCAAGAAGGAAGAGTTGAGGTATATATTGAGTGGTTTATTTTTAAACTAATAATTACGGAAAATTTCAAAGTAGAGAGAAAAGTGTATGAATCTCCAATCTTGTTTAATCTACAATGCTACCCACTCCTTACCTCCCATCTACTGTATTACTTTCAAGCAAATCTCGGATATATCACTTTATCCATATATATTTTAGTATGTATCTCCTTTTTAAAAACATAACAATATCATTATTATACTTTAAAATATTAACAGTAATTCCTCAATATCATCAAATATTAAATCAGTGTTTCACATTTTTCTTATTGTTGCAAATGTTTTAATAGTTGGCATATTCAAATCCATAAGATTCACATATAGCATTTGGTTGATATATCTCTTAAGTCTATTAATCTTTTGGGGGGTGTATTAATCTTTAAGTTCTCCTTTCCTTTTTTTTGTCCGTTGGAATTTATTAATTAAAGAAAGCAGGTAATTTGTTCCATAGTGTTTCCCACATTTTGGATTTTGCTAAATTTATTCATTTAGCATGTTCCTCTGTCCCCTATAGTTCCTATAAACTGGTAGTTAGAACTAGAGGCTTGAGCTTAAGTTTTTTTGTTTTGTTTTGCAAGAATTCTTTGAAGGTGATGTTGTGTGCTTCCATCAACAGATATATAATGTCTGGTTATCTTTCTTTTTTTCACCTTGATAGCTAGTGATGATTGTCCCCTAATCCATTACTTTATTAGGGGTGTTAAAAGATTTTAAAGAAAATATTTTAATCTCTCAAACAGAAATTTTATTTTAAAAACTTGTCTTTGTGTGTGTGTGTGTGTCTAAAAGTTCTGCTTTGAGCTTTGCTTTCAATTCTTGCATGATAGACAACAGAGAATATTTAAATTGTCTCTTAGTCAATGATTGCAGTCTTGAGCTATAACTCCTAGCAGGTATGGCCCCCTGAATTGTGGAAACATAGTCCTTTAGTGATAAAAATCAGCAAACAAGATATTGCACTCAGATTCATGGATAACCCAAACCAAAAGATGAATTCTATTTAATTACCTCTAGAATAACAGTCACACTCTTTATAGGATAACTACTTCATTTTGTTAAATGAAGAACTAAGTAAACATCTATTTTTGTCCCTCCTCTCCCCAACCACCACAACTAGGATTATTGGCTCTCTCTTCTATTCAAGAAACTGGTGGGCACCATTGTATTAAAGGCAAGTGTGAAAGGTGAAGCCAGAAGCAAACTTCGAGTATACCTTCATTGCACAAACATCAACCAGTAAGTATGCAATACACTCTTTACAAACCAACAAGTTTTAATTAGTAAGTACCTAACTTCCTACTCTAACACCCTGTTGTCCCCTCTCTATTCAGAGGGTCTAAGCTGTGTCATTATTCTTTTATTTTTCCCATTTATAGTGATATGGTGCCAGAGTCTAAAAAACAAACAAACAACAACAAAAAAAACCCACGAAAAATATAGCTTAAACATTAGCATTTGACTTTTACAATGACTTTAATTGTCATAATCCATAATCGAAATATACTCTAACTTTAAATAAAGAATACTACCAAAGTATTTTTTAATATTATTTTATTGATTTCAAGGAAGGGAGAGGGGAAGAGAGAGAGAAACATCAATCATGAGAGAATCATTGATTAAAAAACCCACAAAAAATATAGCTTAAACATTAGCATTTGACTTTTACAATGACTTTAATTGTCATAATCCATAATCGAAATATACTCTAACTTTAAATAAAGAATACTACCAAAGTATTTTTTAATATTATTTTATTGATTTCAAGGAAGGGAGAGGGGAAGAGAGAGAGAAACATCAATCATGAGAGAATCATTGATTGGCTGCCTCCTGCATGCCCCCCACTGGGGATTGAGCCCGAAACCTGGGCATGTGTCCTGACCAGGAATTGAACCGTGACCTCCTGGTTCATAGGTCATCACTCAACCATTGAGCCACATTGGTTGGGCACCAATGCATTTTTATATGAACAATTACTTCATTAAATGACTATGAATGAATATAAATTCATATAAATGAATAATTATATGAATATACTTATCCCCTTGTATCACATCTGATCAATTTGATAGGGAAGAAGAATCAAAGAACAATATCAACAATAACAATCTTATTTTCAAAAGTTTCAACCCAATTTATGGAATTGAGAGACCACAGAGATTTTTATAGTTTATACCTTGCCCTTGGTAGCAAAAAATGTTCCTAAATCTCATGGATTTTTTTCTTCTTAGTTTCAATCTGTCCATCCTGATAGGATGATAACTAAAATACTAGTTCTAGCCAAAATAGCTATCCAACATTTCCAATTTCTGGTGAGTGGGAACTCTGGATAGTGAGGGCCCCACTAGGAAGAAGTTGGGGGGTAGTTTGGATAAAGAAATTCTGAAAAGTGTCAACCGATTTAATTTTCTTGTTTGTTCCACTCTTTTCATACGGCTAGAAAAAGCCCCTGTTCATATGGTTTATAATTCGAATGCACATGAACCCACAAAATTCAACTTTTATCATTTAATCTTCCTATATTTGAAAATTAATAAGCTGCTTGGCTCCCAAGTAACTCAGCCTGGGAAAGCAGCAAAGATCTCAGGGTACTCTGGCCCAGACGGTGGTGCTGTGAAGAGCATTGTGTAATTAGTTTCAAATAGGGCCACATTCGTGGTCTTACATCATTATAAAAGGAAGGGTAAAAGGAGGGTCCATCATCATATAAATACTAATACTTAGTATCCATAATTATATTTGTAATCAAGTTTTTAATTGTTTAAATGAGACAAATATTTTTATTATTGAGTCAACCTATTTGCTTTTAGCCCAAGGTATAAAGAAGGAGATCTAACTCTGTATGCCTTAAACCTATATAATGTCACCAAGCACTTGCAGTTACCGCATTACTTATTTGACAAAGAAGTGGATAGATACCTTGTAAAACCTTCAGGACCTGATGGATTATTTTCCCAGTGAGTACTTTTTCTTGTTCATTTTAAACTTTCACCAAATGTATCGGTGTTTATTAGCATAGAGTGTTGATAGGGAGAAAAAGAAGCCAACTATTTCAAGTTTCGATAATTTTTAATATTCAGGAAGTTTATATATAAACAAGAGGCCCGGTGCACAAAAATTTGTGCACTCGGGGGGGGAGAGGGGGTCCCTCAGCCCGGTCTGTGCCCTCTCGCAGTCTGGGATCCCTCGGGAGATAATGACCTGCTGGCTTAGGCCTGCTCCCGGGTGGCAGAGGGCAGGCCCAATCCCTAGGTGCAGCCCCTGGTCAGGCTCAGAGCAGGGCCGATTGGGGAGTTGGGGCGCCACCCCGTCATGCACAGAGCAGGGCGGATCGGGAGGTTGCGATGCCACCCTCAATTATTAAGCCTAGGGCTTATGTTGACTGATGAAGGTCTGGCCTGTGCATATGGAGCACTGAGCTGCTGCAATATGGTTTTTCCAATTCACCTGAGGTCATTTGAATAAAACCTGAGTGCCAGACCAAAGCTTCTAGTACCTCCCATGAGACTTGATTAAACAGCTGAAACAAATGAAGTTACATTAATTTTTTTTTAATTTGCCAGTCCAATTTTATTGTCTCTTATTCATAATTATATTCACTCCTTAGGACAGAAACTCCTTAGATTTAACAGCAGAAATAGTGAACTATGAAGAACAAATCTGGAGGCCTTCATCCCTGTGGTGCCAACCTACCTATTAAGTTATGTTCCTCTTCTAGGAAGCTCAGTGGATATACTGTATACTTTTGCAAATTGCTCAGGACTGGACTTGATCTTTGGTCTAAATGCCTTACTACGAACAGCAGACTTGCAGTGGAACAGTTCTAACGCTCAGCTGCTCTTGGACTACTGCTCTTCCAAGTGTTATAACATTTCTTGGGAACTAGGCAATGGTAAGTACCCCTGGGACATTTCATTAACGAGATTCCCCTTTGGCATTATTTGTTTATACTTGTGATATTAGCAAATGCACTTCTGGTTCGGCACATTTGTGCAGTGCTCAACCGTGCAACTTTTGGATTGCTTAAGGCAGAAAACTCCTATGTATATCCCAGAACCTGTTGCTAATTCCAGTTTATGATACATTTGAGCTGAGGACAACTCATTGAAACCAGCAACTTCCACAGTTCCCTAGTTTCCTTGAGATTTTCAGGGTCACTTTAAGCCTATTAGGCTTGGCAGGCTGGACTCGGCAAAACTGTACAGCAGGCTGTTGCTTTTCCCCTTCCACTCCTTTACCTGTTTCTTGACTTGTCAGTTAATCTCAGCAACACCATTCCAAACCCTCATGAAATGCTCAAGCTAGAAGTTCCCAGTGTAGAATCCTACCCAGGTCAAACTCCTGATTGTCTTCTTTTTTGCAAGGAATGTGTAAATTCTAACTAAAGTGCAAATGACTAGCCACTTCATTCAAACATACTTATAGTGCCTTTTTCGCACATCAGCAAATGGAACTGACGATAAAATGGGAAATGAGATGTAATAGTATGATGAGCGCTGTCCTGAGTATTTAATAAGTATTAACTTATTTTATCTTTTTAACCACCCTGAAGTAGATACAATTATGACCTTCATTTCACAGATAGCAAGAGCACCAAAAGGTTAGCTAAATAGCTTTGTGATGCTGTGCAACTCTTACAGAGGATTCTTAGAGAGGTTAGGCTTTGAACCCAGGCAATCTGCCTCCAGAACAAGGTCTCTGCTCTCTTGAGACTTCTATTCTAGAGGTAGGGAGCCAAACCAACAAGAAAACAAGCCAAGAAATGATACATGCCAGTAGTGGTATGTGTTATGGTAAAGTCTAGCAGCAGCTTTTCTGATCAGGTTGCTGAGGATAACTGTCAACATAGAGCGCGCGCACACACACAGAATAGAAGGGTAGAGGCAACTGTATCTTAGCTAGATGATGAACAACTTTACCATAGCCACCATATGCATAATAGGTCACCGGAACCCATCCTTACCCACCTCCCAACCTCCTTCCCTTCCTCCCTCCCTCCTTCCCTCCATCCCTCCCTCCTTTTCTACCCTACAATCCCCAACTCCTTCTGCTCTTCACAGTGAGATAAAAGAGTGATGTCATTATGTTTCCCTCTTCCTTGGGCCCCATTTTGCAAAGAAAAGGTCTGGTTTCAGGGTGAAGGTATATGTGGGAAGTAGTTTGGACACTATCTGTGCCTCCCTCCCATCTCTTCAGCTTTGCTATTTCTAGGATCATTTGCACATATAAACCTTCTATTTTTTTTAGCTATCCATTGGTTAAAATCCTCATTGTTAATTTCAAATTGTTTTAATACGCCGTCATACCTTAGTTATAGAATTCAAAATTTTGTTTTTCT